TATATATATATATATATATGTGTGTGTGTGTGTGTGTGTATACATTTCCAGCTTTATACTATTACGTCATTTAAAAGATAATTGCAGTTGAAGGTTAAATTGCCCTAATATTAAATAATTGTTAAGTTGTTAGCTGATATAAGTGCTACACCCTATATTATCACTCACCCCCGCCAGAAATTACTTACATCTCCGATAGCCGAAAAAGTATATAAAACTTGTATAATTTTTGTATATAACATACATAACATATATATAGAAAAAATATACAAATTTCATACATTTTTCGGCTATTATTTTTACAGCGGCTATATAGTGTCATTTTTACTTTATTTTATGTGACACTCTTTCTTTTATAGTTTTTTTTAAAAAATGACACATTTCTATATTTATGACTATTAGTTTTAAAAGTTTTCGTTTTTTCTTAAATGTTACGTACGTCAAGTCAAACTATGCCACATAAAATGAAGGAGCGGGAAAGTAGTATACATCAACTAATATTGTTACTCATTTTTTAATTTACTAATAAGAAATTCTTTTTCCCATGCATTATTCTAATTTTTTTCCATCAACTTGATTTTTCATATAGATCAAGTCAGAAGATTACTTCTAAATTGGGAAAAACGAGTTCAAGTAATTGAAGGCATTATTCAAGGGCTCCTATATCTCCAAGAATACTCAAGATTAACAATTATTCATAGGGATTTGAAAGCCAGCAATATTTTATTGGATATAGATATGAAACCAAAGATCTCTGACTTTGGAATGGCAAGAATATTTAAGAAGGATGAAGTTGAAGCAAATACCCTACGAGTAGTTGGAACAATGTAAGTAATATATATATATTTAGAGTTTAATTTATATACACTGACTATATTAAAAAAAAAAAATACACTATCAAGTTATATTTATTTGTCGTAGAAAGGCAACCTGACTTAGTTTCAATTTATGAAAAGTTACTTATAAATATCTTTTGGGTGATTTGAATATATTGTATAAATTTCTTAAACTATCGTTAGACTCATTTATTCATATGTATATCTTAGCATAAAGCATTCTTATGAATTATGATTATATTCTTAATTTACCATATCTATATTTTCAATGAATTGCAGGGGTTATATTCCACCTGAATATGTGGAACAAGGCATCTATTCAACAAAATCTGATGTTTTCAGCTTTGGAGTACTTTTTCTTCGAATCATAAGTGGAAAGAAGAATACATGCCTACACGGTCCAGATGAAAACTTGAACCTTCTTGAATATGTGAGTTGTGATTATAATTTCAATATATGTTTACTAAGTATTTAATTAGGGTTTAACTTATTTACTCCGATATTGTAAAAGAATTTTACACTATCAACATATTTTAACCTATTTGTAGCAAGTTGTATGTTTTATATAGTTACATGTTGCTATGTTTTAGATGACCTAAGAGTATAAAAAAAAACTCTACACTGTCACTGTATCACAAATAAACTCATATAATAAAGAGCTTAACTTTTATATGCTGATAATATAAGAGAATTTTTATACAATCATGTCATCTAAAATAGGACAACAAATAACCACTCATATTAATTAAGTGAGATTTGTAACTGAAAAGTACGATAGGTAATATCTATTAGAACAGATAAAAGTATATTGATACTATAAAAATACTTTACACTACCAGTGTATATATGTTAAATCTTGAGTCGAGAGTCTATCGTGAACAATCTCTCTACCTTCACAAGATAAGGGTAAGGTCTGTGTATACACTATCCTTCCCAGATCTCACTTGTGAAAATACACCTGGTATGTTATTGTTGTTATAATTCTGTATTGCTGTAATAAACAATTAAACTTTCTGAAAAAATAAAACAGAAAGTTAGTAATACTTGTTTAACGAAATAAATTCTGGAAAAAGCAGTATAAGAATAAATCGAGCTCACTGAATACACAGTGTGTCCTTAAGGAAATTATTCCCCTCAAGTACCCGAGGTGCTGGAATATATCCTCCCAGGATAGAACGATTTAACTCACC